AACCCGTGTTCAATTGCCAAAGTAGGTTGTGTTCCGCAATGCTTGTTCGAACTTGTTGGCAACAAGTGCTTGGAAATCAAATTGTCATGAGTCATGAGTCATTGAATTTCCAGCGGAAACCAGGTTGTTTTCAGGGATGTGCTGAGCAGAGTCCCGGTGATGTGTTTGTATGTGTGTGGTTCACCCGCAACCATTTGAACAGGTAGCTGAATTGACGACCTTGATTTCTGACAGGTTCATGTTTGCGGATGTTTTTTAGTCATAGTCTCATTGGGGACATTATAACTTTTGTCATGGTTCGAGTGACCGTTCATTTCATAAGTCTTCATGAGTGGTATTCACTTGGTACGTGGCGCATCTCGAGTTGGAGCAGAGGATCTTATATAAACCAAATTCAAATACAAGGGCGGCATTTTGAATAGATAGATTGCACCACGATTCGGCAATGCCGCGCCTATGGTTGCTTTTGGCAGGGTTGGAACTTTGTTTTGCTGATTGGACAGTGGCTTCAGGGTGGCTTGGCATCATACCAATGCGGGATATGCCCCAATCATATGCCATTATTAATTATGTTTTGGGATTGCCATAAACAACCACATGATTGAACACAAAAAGTGAACCTGTGCCCCGAGAACTCTTCTACAAAGATGAAACCCCTTTGGCATATGTCATTTTGCTCCACAATGAGGGGATAGATTGTCAGATCCGTGGCAGCAACTAAGGGCTTGCCGAGTTGACAGCGATGGATGCTTGCAGAGTCCCCGCTATCCTTCAAGCTACAGAAATAGCCAGAACTGTGAAGTCACTGTGGCTGATGGCAATTCCAAATCCATCAACGTGAAGGCCTTTGACACTGAAACTGGTTACGACATTTTAGAAGTGAATGGTCGACAGTACAGTGGCACTGCGGGCCCAAACGATGTGGTGCCATCTGGAACAATTACTTGGAGTTCAGCAACTTGCTTGAAATTAGATTGCATTTTCTTGAGGAGATCAAGGAGTGAACCGTGCTGAGTTTGATTCGCATTGGCAAGCAGTGTGCCAGGCCAGCATTTTCGAACAGGCATGGAAATAAACACGACTACGGTACGGATATGCAGAAAAAAACGCGGATACATGATACATGCATGCTTTACAAAGTATGAAGACAATTGAGCACATATATACATGTTCATCTTTGTTCATCTATAAAGATTTGGAAAATATATGTGTCTGTGTCCATACGTTTTCACCTTACCAGTTACGCGTTTTTTTGGCAAAACCTGGTGATCCTTTCGAGGACTTGTTTGGAAGTCCCTCCCTTTCCTTCCCAATGATGGAGTTGCTGAAAAATTATGTGATGCTGTTTCAACCCGTGGTTCATCTCTGCAGATTGTGCGAGGATTACTCCATCACAGCAGGTGGCTGGAGGCTGTGTTTGCAGGAACTTTGCAGCTTTGGGTGTCACAGGGGGAGCCTGGGAAGCCAGAAGAATGCAAGTTTTATGGGTATGACCTGGACCATCCTGAACCCAAGCCTGTGATGTGCATAGAGTAATCAACCCAATTTTTTTTCCCGAATGCGTAGCAAGGGTTCCCGTTTCACTCTGGGGGTCTGGGGGTTGAGGGTGTGTTCGCTCGACGTTGCGTTTACATTCACAACCGTCCGCAACCGCTCGCGCGATCCCGGTATGGCCGTGCCTATGGTAAGTTTTGCAGAAGGGGTCCTTTTTGGAGGTTTCAAACGTCGCGTTGCCTTGTTTCGCGTGGCAGGCGTGGCACTCCGCGACATTCTGACGTTTTTTGTAACGTGTCGAAAGTCGTTCTGTGTGGCAGGCGCAATACTTTTGCGACGTTTTCAGAAGATGCGTGGCTGAGAATTTGCACAGGTCTTGCGTTTTAACTGGTGGCTTGTGTTTCATGGATTGGGCTCCCCCAAATAGGCACCAAACTCTGCATTTTGGACCAAAGAGAAACCATGCCATTCTCATGGATTCATGGCTCACAGGTGGAACAAAAAAGATAAACCACAAGGCAATGCAAGTTTGAGTCACCTTAGTTATCATACATGTTACATATAACTATATCTTGTAACCAGGTAATTTCAATTTTTTACTACATATATACTTACTACATACTTAGCTCAAACCAACCCATCCAAGATTCAAAAATCAAATCGTTGTCATTGTCATAGAAGGCTGGGAAAATTTTAAAATTCAAAAAAGGCCGGGGAAAGATAGCATTATGGATTCCTTAGATCCGGGTCTGGTCTATTTAAATCAGGGATCCTGACGTATCAAAATGGTGCCTTAGAACCTATTAAAGGATTCTTAGAACCTGCTGTAAAATTCTTAGAACCTGTTGTCTATAAATCTGGGTCTTTTTATTACATATAGTTTAGAATCAAGTCTGCTCTATTTAAATCAGGGATCCCGACGTATAGAAATGCTGGTTTAGAACTTTTTATATAATTCTTAGACTCTATCGTATAGTTCTTAGAATCTATTCAATTTGCTTCTAAACAAATTATCATTTGTTTCTGCCACAAACAGTTCTTGTTTTGAACAAGGTGTCATACAATTGGGTCTTACAACTTATTGCTGCATATTTGTCGCACGTGTTGTACATGATTTGATGTTTTTCAGACTACGTCTCAACAGCATAAACATGATTGCTCAATATCCAAACCTTTTGCCTTCAAGATCCCTCCTGTCCAGACATGCATCATACCCACTGTATTTTGGCACAACCACAGTCAATGAAGTTTTTGCAGCAGCCTTCCAGTAAGACATTGACACTACACAAAAGCGATGTGCCATGCCGCAGCGTTGGATGAAAACAGCCTCCTTCCATGCATATGTACGTACACGCATATGCTTGATCAGTGGAAACCCACTGACAGAATAAGTTCTTGCATACAAGGATCTATACGTACAATGAGACAAAAATTGCACCATCTGCGCACGCGATTGGATATGCGTGTGAAAAATTGTATATCACATACATCATGTATGACTTTTAAATCAGGTTTTTTTTTGGTGGGGGTAGATAAATGATGTTCATGATGAAAGTATGCAGAAGTATGCTTTGTGCTCTCAAATTTTATGCATGCTCCATGTCAGGTATGGGCTACCATCCAGGCAATCCATGAGTGAGTGTATAAGTCAAGAATGTCTTTTCTTGCTCTTGCTATCACATGGTCCTATTGATCATTTAAACAACATATGACATATTTGATGTTTGGTTGTGAAAAAAAACACGGCTGTAGCATACGATAGCAGAGAACATGATTGGTGCAGTCCCTTGTCATGCTACCATCTTTTCCAAATTTCACTGGGCCGCAGTTACAATGCACGACTGCGCGCTGATGACTGTTAGTGCGCTTAGTGCGTTGTAGCTACGCATGCTTTGTCGTGTGCTTTTGTTACAACGTATGATTCGATGATCATATCACTGTCACTGTATCTGCAAATGATGGGCTCAATTCATGAAACCGAAGGTTCAGATTTTTTTCCTTGAAACATTTTTGCAAAGGACAAGAGGGTTCTGTAGGTGGATTGAAGAAGCACGCTGCATTGCTTCAGCAGGTGGGGCAGTACAGTAGAGAGTCGTAGATCAGTTGTTACCTAGCAGCTACTAGCAAGTTAGCCAGCAGTTACCATTGTATCATTGTATCATAATTGTCACTATCATGTATTAACAAGTATTAACTATACTATACTATTTGTGGATTTTGATTAATGATTCATGGCTTAAGACCGTTCCAACGTCTATGCTTTAACATGTCACAAGTCAGGTATGTGCCTTGTATCATGATGTCAAAGCAAAAGCACGTAGCGGTGTAATACCTTTACTTACATGCTGTATGGTTCATGATATATGACTTCGACTGTACATCTTGCGGACATGGGCTGGTTTGATGAATCCTGCAGATTTTCCTTGCATGATGCAATACTTCCACTGCTTCTGGCAAGTCTTCACCGTTTCACCGGAATAGACAATGTGGTAGAATGGCCTTCTACGTTGGATGTTTCCCTGCTGGCCCTGGACTCCACCCCCATGCCCCGTAGCCGAAGTCGTTTTTTGAATTCAGGTTCTAAGATTTGAGAAATAGTTTCTAAACTTTTTTTTTGGTGAAATTACAGGTAGAAACAATTTCTGGCAGGTAGAAACGGTAGAAACGGTTTCTGGCACCATCCGTAGGCCATTTCAGGGCTCAACTTTCTTCCATTGTTTACGTTTTTTTCCCACAGGACAGTCAGGGCTGAGTGCAATGTCCCAATAGCAAATCAACAGTGTTCTAGTCAAATCCATTTGAACACGCAAGCCGGGCCGAGCAATACGCAACTGCCAGGACATCCCAAGATGTCTCTTCAAACCCCCTTAATTTCCCCCAGAAGTTTAAGTAAGGCCGGAAATTATTTTGAACCGTGTTGACACTTCAAACTTTGGTACTTCAAGTATTGACCTCCGGATTATGCCAACATGTCTATATAGACTTTTATGATTTCTATGGGACCCTATGTTGTCTATGTCTGATTTTCTCGTTCATGTTAAAACAGGCAATCATTTCATGAGGTTGAAAGCCAAACAGGTAGGAACCGTTGAAACCGTTTCCACCTATTTGGGCCCAAAACGGATGGAAACCGTTTCTTCCGCACAGCGCTATTATGCCCCAAAAACGAAACAGATTAGAAACCGTTTCAAACCGTTTCTGGAAGCTGTTTATAACATAATAGGTTGAGACCGTTGAAACCGTTTCCACCTGTATTTGTTGGAGGAAACAGGTAGAAACCGTCGAAACCGTCCCTACGAGTCTTGAAAACACGCATAATTTTTAACATTATGGTAAGATGGCAAAGGCTTCGAGGTTGCTTAAAATACCAAGGTTCTAAGTCGTAAACTGTAAGTATTTGCAGGTTAAAACTCACCAGTTTAGGTACAAACTGCAATACAAATTCATGGTCAAACATCTGAAAGTTATATATATATATACATGATATCAACTGTTGAATACGGTGCAAGTGTAAGTCAAAGGCTGGAAGTGTTTAAATGAAACAGTGAACTTGAAACTTAGTTGTGGCTTGTCTTTAAGTATATTGAAATGAGTGATGGAGATGCCACTATTTTTTCTTTGGGGGTTTAACGTGTGAAGCTGCTTGTACTAGTAGGTTATGCACTTAACACGTTCATTAATCGACAAGTTTTATCATCGCATATCACGGAATATTCGACAGTCAAGTTCTCATGGCTCCTTTTGCAATAAAGAACATAACAAATTGTTATCAAAACAAACCTATCACTAGTTTTCAGCGCCTATTTGCTGCCTATCTGAATCTGCTTCACTAAAAAGTATGATTATACATATTCATGCAGCACAGCCTCCCATCATACTGTTTTGACGGTATGCAGTATGCTGGTTCATACCATTTCATGTAAGCATAGTAATTCTGCAATTCGCAACACCACTCTGTCCACAGTTTTATGGCAAACAGTTCACGGCATAAGTGCATATATGACGGTATGCCGTAAATGATGATATTCAGTATGTGGCCGATGTTTGGTGGCACATAGGAAACATATGAAAAAAATGTACCTTCAGCTTCTTTCAGATTCACGATGTTATTGTTTACTGCCCTGAATTTAGCATTTAATTCAACTTGATTCGCATTCCCACTTATGAACCCATGCAAGGTATCCTACTGGGATAACTGAAGCAAACACACAGTGTTCCACCAAATCCCAGTTTCATACAATGCGCTTGGAAAGAAGAAATACATGTACCACCGGGTCCAACATCAAGGCCACGAAGTTTGGTTTGCCTTTTGAAAAACCAACTCACACCCAGCAGTACAGTTGATAGATTGCTGTGTGGGCAAATCTGCAGTGTCCAGCTGGATTTTGGCAGATTTTGGCTAATATGGGCTATAATTATAATAGGTTCCAAGAAATTATGATCAGGTTCTAAACATGCCCTGTGTGGTCAAAATGCCCACAGGTAAATAGACCAAACACGGTTCTAATGGATTCCCTTAAACGTTTTTTTTTTCAAATAAGAAAATGTTAAAATTCAAAAAAGGCTGGGAGAAGATAGGGTTATGGATTCCCTTATTTGTTTTTTTCAAATAA